CCCACCATCACAGACATCCACACCTCCAGATGCAGGAAGAGGGTCACTTGCATCATGAAGGACCCCACTCACCCAGCACACACACTTTTTGCCCCACTCCCCTCAGGAAGGAGGTTGAGGAGCATTAAGTGTAGAACCACTAGACTGAGGAACAGCTTCTACCCTGAGGCTGTTAGACTTATGAATCTCTAACCAGAATAATCACTGTGAAAAACCACATCATGTTGCTGCTGATCTGTTTCAATGTTGATGTGTTCATGCGTGCACATCCGCTCACAGACTCATGTTCATGTTTGTGCTGATGTTCAATGTTTTTATGTTATGAGTGCTTAGTGTATATTTAGTTGATGTTTTTCTTATTTCATATCTTAGATGTTATTACTGTTTTTCTTATACATTTTATTGTTGGATGTAACTGGGACCTTGTGTACATAATTTCGCTCCACCACATGTACCACATGAGGTGCGAATTACAATAAAGAATCTCTGACTTTGACTGACTCTGATAACCGGCCGGGTGGTCCTTACCCTCATGCGGTTCAGCAAAGGCCCAGCAGGAGCTTTCGTGGGTCGGTCCACCAACCAGCTGGTCAGGCTCGGACCAGGGACTCTGGCTGCTGCCTCCCCCAGCCCCTAGGGGCCGTGGAGGGAGACGGTGATGCCATCAGGCCGACCGTTGGATATTTCTCCCACCAGCAGCTCAGCTACTGGGCTGCTCACGCCATGGACCCATGGGTGGTTGCCACTCTGACCCATGGTTACCGGCTACAGTTCCGACAGCGGCCTCATATCTCATGCCGGGTCAAGATGACTGTAATCGCCGACCCAATGAAAGCTTGAGCACTAGACCAGGAACTTTCCACCCTCCTGGCCCAGGGCGCAACAGAGGCAGTGGACCCTCTGCAACAACCCAGGGGCTATTACTCGACTTACTTCCTCGTGCAAAGAGGACGGGCGGGTTTCGTCCCTTTTTAGACCTGAGGGGACTCAACCAGTACCTAAGGGAGGTGCCCTTCCACATGCTCACGACAGCAGAAGTCCTTCAAGCTGTCATGAGGGAAGAATGGTTCACATCTGTAGACCTGAAGGATGCATATTTTCATGTGCCTATTGCGGCAGAACATCACCGCTTTCTCAGGTTTGCCTTATCGGGGTCACCACTGGCAGTTCCGGGTACTCCCATTCGGGCTCTCTCTCTCCCCGAGGGTGTTCACTCAGTGCGTGAAGGCAGCCCTCTCTCCTCTGCAGGCCTGTGAAGTGAAGATTCTGCCGTACTTAGACGATTGGCTTCTCTGCGCCCCGTCTCAGGCCTGTGCCTTTCACGACACAAACCGCCTGCTCGCTCATATGTCCCAGTTGGGCCTCAATGTCAACCTGGAGAAGAGCTGCCTGATCCCTTCCCAGACGACCACCTTTCTTGGGGTGGTTCTGGATTCATCTTCCATGAGAGCTCGCCCATCCGCTCAAAGGGTGGCCGGCATACTCCAGCTGGTCAGTCGGTTCAGGCTGGGCAGGCAGCTCCCCTATATTGCCTTCCTGCAACTACTCGGCAAGCTGACATCAGTCACTCGGGTGGTGCCCTTAGGCCTGCTGTCACTTCGCCCCTTGCAAAGGTGGCTCAACAGCTTTCGCCTGGATGCCAGGTTGCACAGGCATCGCAAGCTCACAGTGACGTGGTCATGTCTTCATGCCTTGACTCCATGGAGGGACGAAGATTATTTGTCCAGGGGTGTCCCCATGGGAGTGGTAGTGCGTCGCAGGGAAGTGGTCACGACAGATGCCAGCTCCATGGGATGGGGGGCTGTGTGGTAACGCAGAGCGGTTTAGGGCCGCTGGGGTCAAAGGGACCACTCCAAGCATATAAATGTGCTGGAGCTGCATGTAGTGCACTTGGCACTTAGGCACTTTCTGCCTCACCTGGAAGGGAGGCATGTTCTTGTTCAGTCAGACAACACCTCTGTTGTCTACCACATCAACCATCAGGGGGGCACCAGGTCAGCACAACTTCTGAGAGTGTCCAGAGAGCTCCTGGAATGGGCCTCTCCTCGCCTGTCCACCCTGCGGGTAGCGTACTTACCAGGGCGACACAATCAGGTCGCAGATTTTCTCTCTTGCCAAGTGTCCCCTCTGGGAGAGTGGTCCCTCCACAGTGACATAGTGCTGATAATCTGGGACCGTTTTGGTCAGGCAGAGATAGACCTGTTTGCGACGGAAGAGTCGACTCGGTGTCCCCTATGGTACTCTCTTACGGGGGCGTCGGGTGCGCTGGGCCAGGACGCATTGGCTCATTCTTGGCCAAGGGTCCTTCTATATGCCTTTCCACCCCTTTCTCTAATTTGGCCAACCCTTGAGAGAGTCCTCGAGGAGGGCCACAGGATGCTGCTGGTGGCTCCGTATTGGCCAGCACAACCATGGTTCCCACTGCTACGAAGTCTATGTCAGGGCGTCCCATGGTGTCTTCTGACCAGGAGGGACTTGCTGTCTCAGTTGGGGGGGCTGATATGGCACCCCAATCCTCAACGTCTTCGTTTGTGGGTGTGGCCACTGCAAGGCTAGGACAGCAGCTGACTGGAGTTTCGAGCCCCGTCAGACGCACCATCCTGGGCGCCAGGGCACCCTCTACTCGTCAGCAGTATGAAAACAGGTGGCGTCTGTTTTCCCAATGGTGTTCTGATCACAACAAGGATCCAGTCTCCTGTACAGTACCCACCATTCTGGAGTATCTCCAGTCTACTTGGTCACACCCGCCGACAGCTCCACGAGCACCAGGTTTGGACCTGCCCTTGGTTCTCGAAGCTCTGTGCCGTCCTCGTTTCGAGCCTCTGACGCAGGTGGACCTCAAGTGGCTTTCATGCAAGACTGCTTTTTTGCTGGCTATTGCCTCAGCAAAGAGGGTCAGTGAGCTACATGCTCTCTCAGTCAGCCCCTCATGTCTCAGGTGGGGCCCCGAGGGCTCGTGTGTTACCTTGTGTCCAAACACTGCATTTGTACCAAAGGTGTTGTCTCACTCTCACTGTAACCAACCGTTGAGACTGGCACGTTTTCAGCCTACGCCTGGTGATGGGTCTGGATTATTGTGCCCGGTGAGGGCACTGGAGGCATACGTTGCAGCTACTGCCGTGATAAGACATTCAGACCAGCTGTTTGTGTGTTATGGAGGCCCTAGGTTAGGCTGTCCTCTTTCCAAACAGCGCCTCTCCCACTGGATCATGGACGTCATCTGCCACGCCTATGCTGCAGGGCCCGGCCCCCTGCCGGTCGGCTTGAAGGCTCACTCTACCAGGAGCGTCTCCACTTCCTGGGCTGCCCTGAGAGGGGTTCCGCTGGAAGCAATATGTGCTGCTGCATCATGGGCTTCCCCAAGCACGTTCACCAGATTTTATAGAGTTAACGTGGCCACCCATCATCCCCTGGGCCAGGTTCTTCTACAAGGGTCCTCTGGGCCTCCTCAGTGAGGTGGGTGTTTAGGATTCCTTGTGACATCGTTGGTATTAGTCATTTAGTGCTTTCAGCACCGCCCTCTGGCAGTCAGGAGGGATGAAATAGAACAAAAGTTACGTATGTAACTACGGTTCTATGAATCCCGGATGACCGCCAGAGCTTCTCTGTCACTCAGAATCCTTGCGTTCCGCGAGAAGATTCTGTAGGAGCAAAGCTGCGGATGACGTCGGGCTATATAGCCTCTGATTGGTCATCCGTGTCACACCTGTGACTCCGTTGGTATTATTACTCGAACAGCGCATGCGCGAAGGGAACATTCAGTGCTTTCAGCACCGCCCTCTGGCGCCCATCCGGGATTCATAGAACCATAGTTGCATACGTAACTTTCGTTTTATTTATTTACTTATTTTTGTATCTTTAGATCCTATGATGTCATCAAGTACTCGAGTTCTACTCGTTTTATTATGTTAATGTCGAGTTTAAAAATTATGTAGTCTTTCAACCCCTATTTTGAGGGAAGAATAAATTCACACTGTTATATAAGCTGCACACAGACTACTTTTCATTGTGACAAAGTATAATTTTGTCAGTGTTGTCCCATGAAAAGATAAACTTAAATATCTGCAGGAATGTGAGGGGTGTACTCACTTTTGTGATACACTGTACCTATAAACTTACTAGGAGGTGGGCGGGACAGCCTGACTGCTATATATGGGGATGATAATAACTAATAACGGCCATTTAATGGGCTGATAACATCCGAAGCCACTCGTACTTCAGTGACCAACTTCAGCGCAGATGTTACTATACAGTAAAATTACTTTATTCTTAACACCTTTCAAATAGTTTAAATAGATAACTGAGACTTCTTCACTCAAAACAAAAAAATCTGAAACATGTAAAACATTTTATTGCTAATGCTAATTAGCTCTTAGTCATGGTGTGTTCACAGATCAGGAAAACTTTTAATTGCCACTTGGGAATGTTGCATTAAACATATGTGTCAAACTCAAGGCCTGGGGGCCAAATGTGGCCCTTGTTGACATCTGCCCCCCAAGATGTTATTTTAAATGTGTAATACTTTTATCACTTTAATTTTTTTCACTAATCTTTGATTGTGATGTCAAAAGTGCAACATAGAACGTCAATTGAGACCAAACAAACTCTTGTTGAGGAACCTGCAACCAAGAAAAGATGTTGGGTATCTAACTTGAGTTAATTTAGATTCTGAAACCAGCACTTAGTTTGAAAAAGGTTTTAATTTTGGCCCCCTTTTGTAAGTTTGTTTGACACCCCTGCATTAACAGAACAGATTATTTTTTTTTACATCAGCTGATCATTGATTTAAGCCAATAAAGCTGAAAATGAGCCAATTACGTTATTTGTGATGTTGTGGTCTTTAAATGTCAACGCCGTTCTTCTTCCGTATTACTGTTCTATAGATGGTGAAGATTTGTTTTTAGTGAAACTATGTTGTGTTCTTAGAAATTTATTTAGAGCAGTCTAGGTTTTGGGTTCTGATGGTGTTTCACAGAAACTGCCTGTGGTTTTCCATGCAGGAGGAGATAGCTGAGGGGAAGAATGGAAGAGAGAACGTCAGCGACCTGCCCTTTCCTCACTGGATCTGCCAGCCATATGTCAGACCAGCGTGAGTCACTGGGATCTGGTTTTACAATTTATATCATGTGATCTCATCGGTGATCAGAGGGATGTATTCTAAATATTTCAGGAGCAACATTTGCCTGGATCTTTGTCACAAGATAGATGTGAACTTTACATGTGTTTGTACCAAACTGCCATCAATGTCTTGTGTACACTTCAAGATAAATAATACGTTAGTCACTGATGCTCACTACTCGTATCACAAATTTTACTTAACTTGCTAACTGTTTACTACTAATGTAAAAGCAACAGTTGCAGATATTATCTAAAGCACTCCCCACAAAAACTATGCAAGGATCACTAGATCAGATGAAACATAGGAGCTTGAAGACCTGCTTTGTTTCAAATCAGCTGTGAAGGAGTTTCCAGGTAATCCACAGCAGTACCATGTGGGGACGACAGGCAAACCAACTGGATCAAATGCAGCTTTAAAACATCACTGCAGGCCAATGGTGTATTTTTAATGTCTTTGATGTCAGACATCATTTTGCCACACTGGCACTCAGTCGGCTAAGAAACTAGAAGTGAATGTGTAACATTTTATTTATTTTACGTTTTAACATTTGGTGAGAACAATATGGAACTCAATGTCCCTTGCCTGGATGTGGCTTACTGGGGCCCCACCTTGGAGACAGGCCCGGGGGTTGGGGCTTGTCAGCAAGCACCTGTTGACCAGGTCTCTACCTATGGGGCCCAGTCAGGCTTAGCCCAAATGAGTTATTTGGGTTTGCCTTCCTGTGGGCCCACAATCTGCAGGAGGTGCCCTACAAGTGGGGTGCATGGGGCCACTAGTGGTAGTTAAAGGTGGGGGCCTTGACACTCTTGACCCTGGCTTATTACAGGGGCTTCACACTAAACTCAATTCAGTTTAAATAGCGCTAAGTCAATTAAGGGGTGTTGGAGAAGAGATGGTTGGTTGAACCTCAAATTCAGGAAGAGCAATGCACGTTATTTCCCGGCTGTGGAACACTGGACCAGCTCTTTACCCTCACTATGGTCCTCAAGGGGGTATGGGAGTTCAGTGTTTCCTCTACCATTATTCAAGGAGGGCGCCCCACCCTGTCAACAGAACCGAGCACCCTGCCTACCAAATCCCTCCCCCCCCCCCCCCCCACGTGGTTCCGACACTACTGGACGGGGAGCGGAGATTGTAGCAGTTCAGCTCTGACTACAAATCACGACAACCATGCACAATACAAATGAAGCGCTCTGCTACAATGGAGCGAAGCGGCTGGGATGAGGATCAGCACGTCCAAATCTGAGGCTCTGGCCCTTAGTCGATACAAGGTGAATTGCCTTCTCCAGGTTGGTAGTGAGGTGCTGCTTCAAGCATCTCAGGGTTTTCTTCTTGAGTCAGGGAAGAATGTCGTGTGAGAGTGACAGATGCATCGATGCAGACTGTGCCAATTCATTGTGGTGAAGAGGGAGCTGAGCTGCAAGGTGAAGCTCTCGGTTTATTGGTTGGTCTACATTCCTACCTTCACCTACGGTCATGAACATCGGGTAGTGACCCAGGAAACTTGATTGTGCATACAGGCAGTCAAAAAGAGTTTTCTCCACAGTGTGGCTGGACTCTCCCTTAGAGATGGGTTGAGAAGTTCAATTGTCCTGGAGAGACTCGGAGTAGAGTCACTGCTCCTTCACATCGAAAGGAACCAGCTGAGGTGTTTCGGACATCTAATAAAGATGCCTTCTGGACGCCTTCATAGAGAGAGTTTTCTGGGTAAATGAGATGCCAAGAAAGACCCAGGACTTGCTGGAGAGTCTGATTTTGGCTAGGTTACATTGGATGGTGCTTTTTGGTTCTGTATTGCTTTTTATTTTGCATCAAATCTAGATCAAATTATTTATACAAATCCTTCTTGGAGTGTGATGTTGAGATGAGATATCATAACTTGCAGTTTAGAAGTTTTTCAATCTTTTCATTTGATACGTGGTCTGTAGGACACTGTAAAGAGACATACCTGGAATCTAAGAACTGATGTGATTCATCAGGGTTCATGGATAAAAACACTCTAGTATCATTACTATAACAATGGAAATGTATTCCATGCTGTCTGATATTTTTACTAAACAAATTCATATACTGTATAAATACTTTCTGTTCAAGCACTGAACCCCGAGGAAGCCCATGAACTTGGCTTTATGAAAAAGATTCGTGAAAAACTGGAAATCATCAGGAAAATATGATTTGCACCATTTTAAAGCTGTTGCTGTGATACCTAAATCATGTTGAAACCTCTGTAACAGAATGTTGTCATATTGTGCAGTGTTTCCCCTTTCGTTATCCAAGGAGGGCGCCCCGCCCTGTCAACAGAACTGAGCGCCCTGCCTACCAACGTGTCCTTGACACACACACTCACACATCCACCCCCCGTCGACAACTTCCGGCACTGACATAACGCTAAGCTATTGGCAAGCAATAAAGACACACTAGCCAAAAAGCTACAGATGTAGCACTCTGCTTCTCTCACAAATCCCACCGGTTGACAAAAATCCCCCAACAGATGAACGCCCTGCCAAGGCAAGTGACGTAGGGGAAACACTGTTGTGATATATTGCTCAGTCTTCATTGTTATCAAGCCAGTTTCTTTTGACACAGTTCTTATTTTATCTACCAACACCCTACAGGCCAAAGCAGCCAATTACTAATGGTACTTGTCAGAGGTCAACGGTAAAGCAGACTGTGTGTCAGAAGAGGCTGCTGGAGGACGAAGATGGAGCGGCTGATACCCTCTCCAAAAATAAACAGAAAAAAAGGTCCCGCAACCCCAACAAAAACTTCAGTCCTGATCAGAAACGTGAGTTTATCTCTGGTTCTCATTTTCTCATTTCAAGTTGAGGAGCAACTAACCTCTAAAACATGAAATCTGACTTCTTTGTATCTTTTTGTAGCCAAGTACCTCAAATGTGAACAGTGTGGCAACCCAAAGGTAAGCAGTCAGTTGAACACAGTGGCTTTCATTGGATGAAGGCTTGAATAACATTTAGTGTAGCTGTTTGATCTTTCCATATAAATTAGTGCCAGTTGTCTTATTGTTATAGTTATTTGTTTTCAATCATTTCAAGAAGTGATAACCATAAATTTAATTTGCCATTTGAGTTTGTCTCGTTTTTAATTGTTTTACAGGGAAATAAATGTGTGTTCAACCTGTGTCGAGGCTGCTGTAAGAAGAAGGCTTTTAAAGAGGTGGCAGATTGTCCAAGTCAGTACACAAAGCACCAACAACTGCAAACACATGGAGGACATGATGTTTTTAGTTTGTCAGGGACCTTTTTCCTTAAGTGTCTTTTACCGAGTTTGCAAACGGGACTTGTTCATTTAGGTAGAATCTCACAGGGCTACAACTGTTAGCAACTAGTTATTGACTGGCATTTGTGAGGGAGTTTCCAGAATTTTCTAAAATGTTTGCAGTTTTCAATTTTCTTGCATGTGTGACAGAGACTCGTAGCCTAGTTGCTTGAATTTTGAGCATGTTCCAAAAAATGAGTGCATCAAGTTATCTCTCAGTAGTTGCAGATGCTTCACAGGTGTCTCAAATGGTTCTTACAGGTGCTGGTCATAAAATTAGAATGTCATGAAAAAGTTGATTTATTTCAGTAATTCCATTCAAAAAATGAAACTTGTATATTATAAACATTCATTACACACAGACTGATATATTTCAAATGTTTATTTCTTTTAATGTTGATGATTACAACTGACAACTCATGAAAAACCCAAATTTGGTATCTCAGAAAATTAGAATATTGCGAAAAGGTTCAATATTGAAGTCACCTGGTGTCACACGCTAATCAACTAATTAACTCAAAACACCTGCAAAGGCCTTTAAATTGTCTCTCAGTCTAGTTCTGTAGGCTACACAATCATGGGGACGACTGCTGACTTGACAGTTGTCTAAAAGACGACCATTGACACCTTGCACAAGGAGGGCAAGACACAAAAGACCATTGCTAAAAAGGCTGGCTCTTCACAGAGCTCTGTGTCCAAGCACATTAATAGAGAGGAGAAGGGAAGGAAAAGATGTGGTAGAAAAATGTGTACAAGCCAATAGGGATAACCGCACCCTGGAGAGGATGGTGAAACAAAACCCATTCTAAAATGTGGGGGAGATTCACAAAGAGTGGACTGCAGCTGGCGTCAGTGCTTCAAGAACCACCACGCACAGACGTATGCAAGACAAGGGTTTCAACTGTTGCATTCCTTGTGTCAAGCAACTCTTGAACAAGTGACAGTGTCAGAAACGTCTCGTCTGGACTAAAGACAAAAAGGACTGAACTGCTGCTGAGTGGTCCAAAGTTGTGTTCTCTGATTAAAGTAAATTTAGCTTTTCCTTTGGAAATCAAGGTCCCAGAGTCTGGAGGAAGAGAGGAGAAGCACATATTCCAGGTTGCTTGAGGGCCAGTGTCATATTTCCACAGTCAGTGATGGTTTGGGGTGCCATGTCATCTGCTGGTGTTGGTCCACTGTGCTTTCTGAGGTCCAAGGTCAACACAGCCATCTACCAGGAAGTTTTAGAGCACTTCATGTTTCCTGTTGCTGACCAACTTTATGGAGATGCAGATTTCATTTTCCAACAGGACTTGGCATCTGTACACAGTGCCAAAGCTACCAGTACCTGGTTTAAGGACCATGATATCCCTGTTCTTAATTGGCCAGCAAACTCGCCCATAGAAAATCTATGGGGTATTGTGAAGAGGAAGATGTGATACACCTGACCCAACAATTCAGAAGAGCTGAAAGCCACTATCAGAGCAACCTTGGCTCTCATAACACCTAAGCAGTGCCACAGACTGATCCCATGCCACGCCGCATTGCTGCAGTAATCCAGGCAAGAGGAGCCCCAACTAAGTAATGAGTGCTGTACATGTTCATACTTTTCATGTTCATACTTTTTAGTTGGCCAACGTTTATAAAAATCATTGATTTGTTGGTCTTAAGTAATATTCTAATTCTCTGAGATACTGAATTTGGGGTTTTAATTAGTTGTCAGTTATAATCAGCAACATTAAAAGAAATAAACATTTGAAATATATCAGTCTGTGTGTAGTGAATGAATATAATATACAAGTTTCACTTTTTGAATGAAATTTCTGAAATAAATCAACTTTTTCATGACATTATAATTTTATGACCAGCACCTGTAATTTGGTGGTATGCATCGCTATAATTTCACACCTGGATAGGAGCTCAACGCCTCATGAGAGTTCGCTCGTTGCAGTGACCCTGGAGGAAAGGAGAAGCTAAAAAAAAAACAGGAACTCAACTCTGACAGAAAACGTTCTGGTCTTTAAAATGCTGGTAATAAATGCTGAAGGTGGAGTTTAGACCCCTTATAATTTAATTGATCTGCATTTACCATTATTAAAAACAACCAGCAGCTTCACTTGTCATAGGTTCATCTATTTCTGAGAGGTCTAACCCCAGTTCTATCTGCTAAGCCATATAGACAGTCAACAAGGATCAAATTGGAATTTGGAGGCCGATGGTTCATGCTTATCCAATTGGGACAAGAAGATGCTAAGGAAGACCCATGCTGGAGGACATGCTGAAGAGACTATGTCTCTTGGTTGGCCTGGGAACTCCTTGGGGTCCTCCCAGAAGAGCTGGACGAGGTGGCTGTGGAAAGAGATGGCTGGACCTCTCTGTTCAAGCTGCCGCCCCCAAGACCTGAGTCCAGAACAAGATGATGGATGGATGTTCCCGTCTAGGGTGCATTAGGATAGTTGAACCTAAAGTTCATTATTCCATTTGCAGTCTCAGCAGGTTGGCTTTGGGTCTTCCTAGGCTGATGGCATCATCAGTTTAAGGGTTGCCTTTGGGTACATCTCCAGATGAGACTCATCAGTGTAATACCCCAATGTTTCAGGAGAGCATCTCAACAAATGCAAGTTTCCACCTACCCTTTCCTCAACAATAAATAATTATTCCGATGAAAAGCCTAACATTTCTAGTAGGAATGGGTATCATCTCATCTTTGAAGTATGTGTTGAGTAATCCAGGAGGATTTATGTGGAGTGTGTATTGATGACGCATGTAGTGACGTTCGAGGCCTCGCTAGCGGGCCGTACCATGTGACCAATTCAGGAACTGGCTCATTTGTAGGCGCGAGATTCGAAATGTATGGGGTAGACAGAAAAATTCATCATCACCATCATCATAAAGACAGATTAAGATCATTTGCAGATCAAATTTAAACTTTATTTGAGTTCCTCACAAACATGATTTATTTTTTATTTTATTCAACTTAAAGCTTCACAAACCAGTTATATTATAATCCATCTACCAGTTTTACATTTATAGTCTATGTGATGGCACAGTAGAGCAAATGAAGCACCATGGCGCGTCGGATCATGAGTCGAGCTATTTGAAGGAAAGCCTCAGTGCTTCATGAAGCTTCATCTCGCCATCACTATCATCTAGGGATGCACGATATTATCAGCATGGTATTGATTTTGGTCGATTTTAGCAATAAATTTAAATATTGGCCATTCCATCAAAATAACTCAAAAGGCACTATTTATATATACACTGCTCACAAAATTAAAGGGAACACTAAAATAACACATCCTAGACCTCAATTTATTAAATATTCTCATTGACAAACTTTATTATTAGCACAGTGGAATTGATTGAGAAGAAAATACTAAAATTATGAATGTAAATCAAAATTATTACACCATGGAGATCTGGATCTGGATTTGGATTCATACTCAATATGAAAGTGGAAAATAACATGACAGGCTGATTCAACATCAGTTCCTCAAGACAAGTCTAAATGAGGCTCAGTGTGTGTGTGTGTGTGTGTGGCCTCCACATGCCTGTATAACCTCTCAACAACGCCTGGGCATGCTCCTGATGAGACAGCGGATGTTCTGAGGGATCTCTTCCCAGACCTGGATTATAAGCATCATTTAGCTCCTGAACAGTCTGTGGTGCGTTGTGGCCTTGATGGATTGACCGAAACATGATGTCCCAGATGTGCTCAGTTGGATTCAGGTCTGGGGAATGGACAGGCCAGTCCATAACATCAATGCCCTCATCTTGCAGGAACTGCTGACACATTTCAGCCACATAAGGCTTAGCATTGTCATGCATAATAAGGAGCCCAGGGCCCACTGCACCAGCATATGGTCTCACAATGGGTCTGAGGATCTCATCCTGGTATCTTATATCTATATATGGTATCTGCTTCCTCACCTGACTTCTGGAGAAGTCAGGTGAGGAAGCAGCTGGAGAGACTGAACCGGAAAAAGGCTGCAGGTCCAGATGGTGTCAGTCCCAGAGTCCTGAAGGTCTGTGCAGAGCAGCTCTGTGGAGTTCTGCAGCACCTCTTCAACCTTAGCCTGACCCAGGAGAAGGTTCCAGTGTTGTGGAAAACATCCTGTCTTGTTCCAGTGCCAAAGAAACCTCACCCATCAGTCCTCAATGACTATAGACCTGTTCCCCTGACATCCCACATCATGAAGGTCCTAGAGAGACTTCTGCTGACCCACCTGACTAGACAAACAAGCACATATCAGGACCCACTGCAGTTTGCTTATCAGCGTGGACTTGGAGTTGAAGATGCCATCACACACCTGCTTCAGCAAACTCACTGTCATCTAGAAAAGGCAGACAGCACTGTGAGAGTCATGTTCTTTGATTTCTCCAGTGCATTTAACACAATCCAGCCTGATTTGCTTTGTCAGAAACTCCAGAAGACTCAGGTGGAGGCCTCAACAATCGCCTGGATCAAAGACTACCTGACGGACAGACCACAGTTTGTGAGACTGAAGGGTTGTGTGTCTAACCAGGTGGTCAGTAGCTCAGGAGCACCACATGAGACTGTACTCTCACCATTCCTTTTCACTCTGTACACCTCAGATTTCCAGTACAAAACAGACTCCTGTCATCTGCAGAAATATTCTGATGACTCTGCAGTGGTCGGGTGTATCAGAGATGGACAAGAAGCTGAGTACAGGGAACTGGTGGACCGCTTTGTGGCATGGTGTGGAAACAATCATCTCATCTTGAACATGAACAAAACAAAGGAGATGATTGTAGATTTCAGGAGAATCAGGAACAGATCCAACCCTATTTTCATCATGGGAGAAGAAGTGGAGGTGGTGGAAAAGTATAAATACCTTGGAGTTCACCTGGACAATAGACTGGACTGGAAATGCAACAGTGAAGCCATCTACAAGAAGGGACAGAGCAGACTGT